AGTGTCAGAGACAGTGCGATTGGCACAGGACAGAGTGGAGTTTAGGGCTGTTGTACATAGGGTCGCTATGAGTCGCAGGCGAATCGACGGCACATAACAACAACAACAACAGATAAAAGTAAACTGGACAAAATGGGGGGTGGAAGTAAGCTGGATTAAAGGAGTGAATAACATTAACTACTCTGGATTTTTTTACACAGGCCCTTTTCTTTTATAAAGTTCTAAGGGAAATAACTGAAAATACAAGCTCTTAAAAATGTATCATGTTTTATGAAATGAATTAAAAAAATGATTTGAGGATGTGAGATGGCATGGTTACTCGTCGTATCACGGTGCATAAAAGTTGAGACAGGAGCCGTCTAGTAAAGCTCATGCTCACAGATGATCAAAGGCACTGCCGTGGAGGTGGGGCTTGGCGGTGCTGTGCAAATGTCACCCACAAGCTGTGGGCCCCCACTCCCCAAAAGACACATTTCATTCACTCTGATATTTTACGACTTGGAAGAAAATACAACTTTACAACGAGAGGTTAGAATTGACTATCCTAAAATCCAGTAGCCATCAAATACATCAGAATACCCTTCTCTGCTTTCCAGATGTTTCCTCTTGGATTTCCATGTTCTTCTATTAGTTTTGGCTCAGAGAGAGGGAACTTTTCACTTTGTCTGTCAAAACCCAAACTATTTTACCTTCCAGGCACAGAACAAAACATAATTTTTGCATAAAAAATATGCTGCTCTTGTCATTCTTTATTTTCCAAGTAATTTTTTGGAAATTAAAAAAGTATAATATAAAATTTTAAAGAATATTAGTGTTACCAGAGGCATAGGAAGAGCATCTGGCACGACTTGGTATTCGATGAACAAATAAGAGCCACACAGCAATTTAACAGCTAAAATTATGAATGACCACAAATCACGGACGTTCCTCTGACAGAGTCCTGCTCTTCTGACAGTCTTCCATTTCCTAATATAATCACAACACTTTGTGTAATCTTTCCTAATTATATTTTGGCTCACAAATCTTGTTTTGTGAATTGTGACTATTTCTCGGAGAAGAAAAACAATGTGACATATTTTGAAATTCACAGTGCTCTGCTATTTCCTCTGAAGCTGGGATGATCAGACATGAGGTTAGAGACTGGTCTCTGGCTAGGGCAAGCACCCGAGCAGAGAGCTGAGCAAAGGGGCTGTATCTACAACCAGGTACTGCTCTGAGAATTAGATTTTGCTAGAATGTATTCGGTAAGTAGTTAAGTTGCGTTTAAGAGTAACATTTGTTTTTTATTGGCAAGGTGCTGATACTATAAAACCATTTTTCAATCTCCTGGTAAAAATTCCTGAATACTCCCCTACCTGTCAGAAGGTGGAGCTCTAAACATATCTGAAACACTGGCTCTGAATGTGTTTCACAAACGTGTATAATGAGGAGACTGAAGCAAGAGTACAAGTCTTTAGAAAAATCGTCCTGAAGAAAATTCCAACTCTCTCAGAATAAAATCACCTATATTTTTGAATAGGTACATGGCTAACTAACAAGAAAGATGTTTAGCATGCTCCTTGGAAGTTTCAATCTATAAAAATTTAAGTGGATGTAAAGCAGAGAATAAAAAGCAAAGTCTTTCAAAGGGAAAGCACTGTAAAACGAGGGCCACCTATTCCCCCCGCGGCGGTGAGTCCACTCACAGGCGTCCCGGATGTACAGCAGCATGGCCATGAAGACGTAGTCCACCAGGCCCAGGCTGAGGCCGTCTGCGAACAAGGCGTCCCACACCACCAGGAGGTCCTGCAGCGGGAACTCTCGGCCAAACAGCAGCCGCACCCACCGTCTGAGGAGAGAAGAGACAAAACTCCAGCCAAGAGGCCCTGGGCGAGTGGGAAGGGTAAACAGTTGCTTAAGTAGCTGTGAAAAGATGACAGTTTAGACAACGGAGCACAGAGAGAAAACACGAGCTACCAAACACACATGATGCAGAATACTGTAAGCAAACCAAGAGACAAGAATTGAAAAGCCATGATACAGTGAAATAGAGACTTTACAAGCGTTGACGTAGATTTTGTAATTCTGTAACTAGGAGTCGGTTACTAGACTTGGTTCCTATACATATAAACTCCAAGTGCGACAGTGGACGGGGTGGAAATCTTTCCTATTTTGTATGAATCATACATCTTAAAGGATGAAGGGAAAGGGAACGTGTAGGAGCTGGCAACTGCCTGACAAGCCACATTATGGGTTAAAAGTACAAATTACCAACATTTCCCGATCCCTCACTGAGACAGGTCTCTCCTTAATCTTTCTCTCTTTTTAGTTAACTGGTGTTTTGCAAAGATTTTTATGACAAATTACCAAAGACAAACGTAGAACACTGGATTCTTATATTTCATTCATGTTTAAAAAGACTCACATTTAAATTTAAGGAGGTCAGGGCAGTGGTGGGTATTTTTGTCAAATGTAGTAATTTATTTTTAAATAAAATACACAGTGATATCTAACTTTTAGCTTTAGAATAGAATATACTCTAATAGAGAGAGAATCCTTCTAGGGTTGCTTTGGAAAACATGCTTCTACAAGCAGGAAAACGGTTATCTGTGACAAAGCAGACAGAGACAGCAAACGAGAACACTAAAAGCGGCATAATTGTATGTTCCAAATAGTGACATCTCAGATTTACAATAAAGGTTATTAACCTATTAGCATATAATTTTATAAGACAATGAAAATAATTCTGTCTAATGGATCTTTCCCCCCCTTTACTTCTAATTCTAAATATAACATGGTTAGAATTTCCTTGTACAAGTCTCTCTTCAGGAACTTGAGATAGAATTCATTGTGATGCTAGTACGTTACAAAAAACCAAAAAGTAATTCATACTTCATCACCAACTAATAAAGGAGAGAAGAAATTCTTTAAAAATTAGCTGAGATATTCTTAATTGTCTTTGCAAAATTTGAAACGGAATATAACCATCTGTGAGGATAAAGTTAAGGCCAAAAGAAAGAAAAGGAAAGCTTTTCCTTGGGAAGAATGACACAGAACAAGGAATCAACAAAGCCACAGCAGAGCAGTGCCTCACCACACAGACACACCACACTCTATCAGGGGCTATGTGATCAAATATTTAAATTGTTTCACTCATCACATTACAGAATAACTAGGCCACCTTTTCAACAAAAAAGAAGGGTCTTCAATTTTTCATAACAATGCTTAGGTAGCACTTTTTCTTTTGAAATAGCTGCCACACCTTCCCTATTTTTTACCTACTGTTCAATCACTGGTCTACCACTAACGCGGCCTGACAAAATACATGCTTCCATTCGATCTGCCTGCATTTCTGTAGCATAGGGGGGGAAAAATACTTTTGCACACATTTCAAAATCCTTCAACTTGACAGTGCTAATATTTACTGTTCTAAGAGGTACAAAAATATCTCTAAATTAAATATGGTGTTCTTCTTAATGACAAGGAATTAACTGGTCTTGCAAATAGTCCCAGGGGAGTCAGAAATTAGGGAAAGCAGAAACACACGAGTCGAACCATTTCGGGAAACTGCTTAAAAGACTTTTTAACTGATACGTACATCTGCACTCTTAAGTAAAACACTGTGATATTTATAGTTACCCTACGGACAGAGCTGCAGGAGAAAGCTGTGAGTGAACGAAATATCCTTGAAGGTTAATAGACAGCATCAGAGGGGACAACGGCCCAAACACCTCTGCTTTCCAAGGGAACGTCACATCTTTGGTTTCATCACTAACAGTGCTTCAAGGGCAAGATGAAATCAAACCTGATTGTCTATATTTTGTAAAGAAAGAATCTATACACTCCTATTTCTACAGCAAAATTCTCCTTTACTGTTCAAACGCTGCTCCTCCTCTTCCAAGCGTTCCTTTCTGCTGACTGGCCCTGTGTTGCTTAGCAAAGGCCTCTGCAGATGAGCCCTGGCAGCCGTCCCCAGTGAGTGCTGGTGGGGTGGGAACCCCGAGACCTCCAACGATCTCCACTCTCCACCCGCTCAGTGTCAAACATTCCACAGGGTTAGTATTTTGAAAACTAGAAAAGCATGTGTCTCCTGTCCTTTCCTAATCTGTAATCTGTGATGTGCTGCTTCCTTCTTGACACTTCACTTTGCCAAACACATGCCTAAATCAACTGAGCGCAAAGGCTAGGAGCAGAAGTGTGAAGTATCTCAGTCACAAAAGGACAAATACTGCATGGTGCCACTGTTGTAAAACAGGACTGACATCGGGGTTGCGGGGGAGACTGAGAAAGATGGCTTCAATAATGTATACTGCATTGAAACAGATGAGGGAGAGAACTGTTTAAAAGGGATATATGATTAGGTAATTACTGTCATGACAGGAGTCCAGAACGAAGGCTGTGTAGTGGAGTGGACCTGGGGGGAGGGATTATATAACAATGAAAGAATTTTTCTCTACCTTTTCCAAGAGGGGAGTGTACTTGGAGGGGGGAAGGTTGGGTGGGGAGGAAAGTGCAACAATGAATTAATGGAAATCCAAAGTCTCTAAATTTCCACTAAAATTAATAAATTTTTAAAAAAGTAAAAATCCCCACAAATACTAAAAAAAAAAAAAAGAAGTCAAGGGGCAGGGGCAAGAAGGGAGGAGCAGGCGCCAGAGACAAGAGAGAAGGCATCTCCAGTGGTGCTAACAGCTCTGCACATTTTGCTCCATGCAGTAAGCATACATCACGGTTCCTTCAAAAACACTGGGCAAGTCAACAGTCACGTTATCCAGAAGCAAAGGTGCAGCTGATGTGGAAGAACATTAATTGACCTTGTTGGTGGCCAACAAAACAATTAAGTGGAAAAACAAACAGAAAAAAAAAAGAAAGAAAAATCACCCCAGGAACACATTAAAAAAATATTACTAGATCCTATCCCGTTTCTTTTACGTAAGACTACTAATAGATTGCACATACACGTAAGAATGTTGTACTAAAATAAAACTGTCTCCTCAATTTCACATGCAATTACAGGAAAATTAAGGCCAAACACTCAGAATATTTAAGGAGCCCGGATGACTAATGGAATGCATTGGGACCCACAAGGCCCTTATCAATAATTTAACCATTTTAATTCCACTTGGATTTAGCTCACATATACATTCAGTACATACAAAATCCCTTGTGTTATTTTAGTGTTTCTTCAATAAATAAAAACAAAACTTAAGAAATTAAAAGCTGAGGAAAAATTCAGTTCTCTATGGAAGGAGTTACCAATAGGAATTATTTCCATAAGCTCTTATATTGGAAGAAAGACAGAGTTACTCTAAGAAATAGGTTTTGAAAAAGAGGCAGCTCCTGCAAACTATTTTTATGACAGCAAAAAGAAAAAAAGAAATTAGTGAGAATTTAAGGTACACGTAAGGTAGCATTAAATACTGTCCCTCCTTAAAGACTGCTTCAGTTGAACTGCTCAATACTGTTATTAATCTTGCTTTCTATATGCTACACCTGAAAATTGTAGTGCTCAAAGCCATCCACTCTTATCGGTGGTGATAATAACTCACACTTAAACAAGTCTACTTAGCAATTAAAACCAAACAGTCCACAAACGAGAAGTCCACGGGAGGCTTTACATTTCATAGTGTACCTCACAAAGCCTTCCACCACCACTCACATTCTTTCATGTCTGTGTAATTGAGCTATTTCCAGGGATCAGTAGCTCCTGATGGCATTACTGCTCGGTGAGTGACATTCAAAGACCAAGAGAAATCCATTTGTACCAGGCATGTTATGAAAATGGCCAATCTGACTGAGGCTTAAATAACGTAGCTGAAGTAGGCTATATATGGAGAAAGACATTTGAATACTCCATGTTCATTTCTTCTCTCTTCCTTTAATAACTTTCTTGTGAAATTGGAGTATGACAGTACCAAGAATGAGTAGTGTCAAAAAGTCATATTCAGTTGGATTTTTTTTTAATTAATTTCAGTGAACATCTATAGAGACTTTGGAATTCCATTCATTCATTCATTCATTGTTGTACTTTTCTCCCCGCCCACCCCACCCCAACCCCCAGTTTGCTCCTCTCCTCGAAAAGCAAAACTCTTTCATTGGTACACAATCCCCTCGCCCCGCACACCTCCACCCCCATCCCCACCCCGAGTATACTCCACTCTGCAACCCTCATTCCGGACTCTTAGGATAACCATAATGGCCTAAAATAGATTACTTTTAAGCTATTCTCTCCCTCATCAGTTGGATTTAACACGTCTTACCAGGGCCTCTCTTCTATTTCCTTTTAGTCTTGTGATATGTGAGCTGCGATGAAGAATTTCTAGCACACGGTAAGCACCGTGTGAGCTCACTGGGATGAAGGAGCAGTGATGGACCTTGGCTGTCTTTTGCTTTTTGTTTTCCTTGTCATTTCTGACAAGCTAGTATTTTTAAACAGCCTGAAGTACAACAGGGAATAGACACAGAACTAAACCCTGTATTATTATAGGAAAACAGGAACAAACCAGGCCACTCTATTTGCTAAGACCCCTTTTTGTCAGGGTTTCAGGTGATCTTATACTGGGTTCTTTGCAGTATTTCTTTTCTGAAATTAGTTCATGATGGGCTTTGCTCTCTCTTGACTCTGGGAAGGCAGTTTTAAACTTCAACTACACCAGGTATTATAACTAAGGTCACAAGATACTCTTATCTTTAATTCTAGCTTCCTTGAGAGTAAAGTCATAGAAACAGAAAGAGAGAAATTGGTGGTGGTGGTCCATTTTCAGATTTCTTATAATTCTGAAGCCTCCATAGAGCACATTACTGAAGATATTTAACCTGTTTCATTATTTCTTGCTTGATCAACCATTT